GGATTAATTTAATTTAGTGGGCCCCAACACTTATATTTAGTGGCTGATTAGGATTAATTTAATCCAGTGGGCCCCACCACTTATAATTAGTGGCTGATTAGGATTAATTTAATCCAGTGGGCCCCACCACTCAAGGCAAAAATTAAAGAGGGATCAGATTGGGAGCTGGCCTTAGTGGACACGTTTAGAGGGGGGCTGCCTCAACCTCATATTATAAATGAGGTGGAGAAATCCACTCCATACTAAATAAATTGCTGCATATCATCTTCTTCACCACTTGGCTTAGGCAGCCATGGAAATGGAGAAACCAACCCTGCAACTCTTGGCCAGCAGCTGCAAATAATTTGGTGAGTAATCTCCTTGCTTGGTGTGTTAATTCTTTAGAATATCTAGTTAATTATCCATTAATATTAAGAAAGGGGCGTGACCAGTAGCATAGGAAGTTTGTTTTAGTTATTGAATGTGCTAAGTATGAATGGAAACCATAATCGAATTATTAGTAGTGTTGTGTTGGTGCTTGGGCTATTTTGATCAAAGCAAACTGTGGGAAAATTCTGTTTGGTGTTGTATATGTTAAATGTGATTATGAGTATATACTCCAAGGGATGAAAATGATAAGGTAGACGTGTTGCGAATTATAAAACGAGTTATCGCTCGATATGTCGTTGCTCCGCTGCTATGGTTGCCGAGACGGAACTGTATTTGGGAGGGGGCTGTTTAATATGATTTGTTGGGTTATATGTGTTATTGGTATTGTTGTGGATAATTTGGGTTGTTGTCGGATTGGGACAAAGTAAGGAAAATAGGGGAAGTGCTGTCGGATTTTCGTTAGATTATTAGCTTGCTTACAAGATAGTAAAGCGCGACGTTTATCTAATTGCGGCACGATTGTTTCTTGTTATAGATTAATAGCTTGAGCAGTAAATATTGGACGTGCGGCTCGATTATATGGTATGTGATGCTGTCCCTACTTTCTTTGTTTGGCATGACTTTTTAAAATAAGCGAATTACGGACAGGTTTATACTAACCTCTAGAGCGTCTAGGTGACGTATATTCTTGCTTCCACAATTATTCCTCTATATATCGGCTCTGTCTAAGGCTATGATGATCTCTAATATATATGGTAGTGCTTCATAGAGTCATTGGGATTTTACATTTCCATATCGTATTAAAGGTTAATAATATTGATAAAACATTAATCTTTGGTAATACTCCTTGCTGGTTCACGTTAATTGTTCTATTGAGTTATAAGAAATGATTTTAATTGCATATGGTTGCTCATAATATTCTGCTCGTGCATAGAGCCATTTATCATTTCACCGAGTCCCGGGCCGGGTAATGTTCGTGCGGAGTTTCTTGCATATGTCACTGAGTTCCTCACTAGAGGGCCGGGTATGTATATTATATATATGATTGGTGATGAGGATGCTTATGATGATGATGATGACGAAGATGACGTGATGATTATTTTGCCGAGTCCCTTACTAGGGAAGCTCGGCACCTTATATGTTAAAGATATGC